TTCAGCAGTACGCACCCACCACCACGGTTAGAACCCAGGATCTTCTGGTTACAAGGCTAGCGAGCTCGTAGACCATTGAGTCACTGGGATATGAAACAGCTGTCTAATACTCCCAGGTTTTCCAGTAGTTCTCCAACTGGTGTCAGCTCATGATGAAATCCACCATACAATCAAAAAGAATCCCTACAAAACCAATACTTAAAAATCTATATGTTTCTATCAATTCACTTGCTCGTGTAGAGCTAGGTATATCGGTCGTTTGACTCGAGTTTTGTCGAATAGGGTGCAACAACGCTATCCTGCATGGTAGTTACGAAGAGGTGGAAGTGGAACAATAAGAAGTGCGATCATTGAACAACTGGTCGGTGGCTCAGTGGTTAGGACTCTCGCCGATCATGCAAATGGTCCAAGGTTCGATCCACTACCGACACACACCTGATATCTATGGTGGGCCTGCAAAATTTAGGCTAACAATATCACATGCTGAAAATTCCATACCTGTACCAAAAAATACAGTATAGAATTAAGCTGTAATCAAAAATAAAAATAAAATAATGATCACCCCATCTCTATAGCTTCCGCCTTTAAAGTCATCTACAAGGCAAAGAGCAATCTACCCAAATCCCTACATACCCGACTCATCTGTATTGCTGAAGCCATCTTTGGCTATCGAAACAGAAAAGCCAGATCTCTGTGTACAGAAAAAGTTCGTTCAACCCCTCCAACTTTCATGGTCTTAATCCCTCTATGCTAAAACATGGTAATCCCCAATCATATTTTAGCTCTACCAATTTTTTATTTTTTCATTTTGTCTATTCAGTTTGTAGTCTCTTCCTTATTACGCCAATTGTTATTATTACTACTCTCACTTTGAATTGTCCCCGGTATTATTTCACTTGGTCCACTTGTCATTCTAAATCAATTCTTTTTTTGCAACGTTAAATTCTATGCTCTCGAATTTCGCACAATATTACGTAACGTTTTTATCTGTCTACTAAAACTGTATCCTCGCACGTCTAAGTATAGAAATTCTATGATACCATACTTGTCACGTCTTTTGTGTAATGAAAATAGTGTCAGGCAAGAATTAACTAACCTTTTTTCATCTAGTAAATAAACAATTTCCTCCATCCACCCTTATATACCTTCAAGTTTTACTTTTATTACTTCTATTATATTTATGGTCCTGTTGCTTCTTTGTTTTACTCTCATAATTGCAATCACCAACTTACTTATCTCAGTGACTGCTGTAGTCTTTGTTTTTCCCCTCACCATCACCATCATGTAAAGAGAACATTATATTCAATATGTTTAAACATGTTAGGATTTCTATACCACATTGCCAATACTGTGTGACACAAGCCCACGGGAATTTTCACTTGTATTCTTATTATTATTACCCTAGCTGTTATCATTATTATTGCTATTTCCATTTTATATGCTGCATGTTTTTGACACTACCTCTATTGTAAATGTGGAAAATTTTCTGTGTGATTAAATTTTATTTATAATTTGAGGAAATTAGATGCAGTAATATTGTGATTAATGCTGAAAATTCCATTCCATTCTGTATCACAAGTACTGTTTTTGGAATAAAGTGAATCATTATTATTATTATTAATCCTATAATTGCACACCCTTTTACAAGTTCTATCCATCCTATGAATTATTCTATATATGACATTAATTTGCTTTGCCACTTGACATTTAACCACGATAATAATCACAAACATTTTAGTTTTAATTGCATTTCATACTACTGTTATTATTATTATTGAATGTATTCACACCTTTGACCTAATTCCCTAACCGGATATAATTTCTAAAAAACACCATATATATGGTTGAACAGCTTGATAATAAATTTAATGTTCAAAAGAGTCTCTTTGCTGAATCATCACTTGTTTTGATTTTCTATATGTTACAATGGGAATTTTTCATGAGATAAAATTTATTGACTGATTGATTGATTGATTCTTTCAACTCTCCTTTAACATTTAAACAAACTCTATCCTGACGCATAGTCATGTCATTAACTTTCTCGATTAAAATCCTAAACTGACTGAACAAGTTCAATTGTTTAAATGTCTCTTCAATGGATCAATAAATCACTCCCCTCCCCGCGAAAAGAACAACAAATTCAAACAAAAATTCATATGATTCAATAAATATGTTCAATGTCCAATGTCCAATGATGATAACAAAGCTTTTCTTTAAGTGTGATAGCATATTCGTGTGACTTATAAATAACATATATATAGGCAAATGTTTTCAAAAGAATGGATACTGAACAAAGAGTACTCTTTTCGATAACCCCTTCATCATCAGGCTCTACAGGTATATATCCATCCATTATAGTGAATGAATGAATTAGTGTTATGAACAACATTAAGGTTGCTGTTTAAATAACATCGAATCAATAATGATATCGATGGATTACAGCTGAATCGCATCAATATAAAATAAGCTGAATTTCAGAAGAATTAGGAAGCATAATATTACAGATTCATGAGTTTATGGTCTCTACTGAAGGCCAGCTAGGGCAATAGTAGGGGGTGGACTTGCTTCTTTTGAACACAGAGCACTAGTTGTTTGAGGCGAATTGTAATAGCCTCTGCTGTTTGGAGCCTGTGGTGCTTTGATGTTCTTGGCAAATTTATTAGGCACTCGGTAGATGATAGAGAAGGGTTCTTCAACGCTAGCTGGCTTTGTGGCCGGTTTGCACCAGATGTTCCAATATCGAGCCGTTAATAGTTTTCACTACAGCTTTACTTAGCCATTGTGCGAGATGTTCATGAGTGAGTACGAAAAATCAAGTTCCTAGAGCAACGGCCAATATAACTCGCTCCACAAGTGCAAATGTTTTCTTTAAAATGTTAAATATTCTTCGGTTAATTTTACAATTTATTTTCAGGTTGTTAATTTTTTCAGAATTAAATAATGGTGAACAGTTGTAAAAGCAAAAATGTAAAAGCAAAAAATATAAAATTTTCCAGCTCGCATTGTTTTAGTTAAATTCCAGTAAAAGTGAATGACGCACGAAGTTGAAGGTCGCCTCCGTTTTTATTATCACCATGTGGTATCACCTAGGCAACTAGAAATTTGTGACTGTTAAAAATACACATCAGAGTTTTACTGAAAACATCAGACACGCACACTACAAAGTAACCTTATCAATATGAAAGACCAAATCCCTAAAGATTCTCTATTTCATTGTGTCTATAAAATAAAATGCTTGGAATGTGATGCGATATACATCGGATAAAAACATCACCAGATAAAAATCAACATTAGAAGAAATGAGAACACCGTAGAGACGCCTCTGTTCAACTTCCAAGAAATCCAGTTGAACTAGAAAAGCTTGAAAAATCATCATCCGAGTGTTGTCTACATGCTACGCTGTAGAAATGGTTCACAACATTGATTTTAAGAAATATTTAAATCTACGATTTTATTACGGATCGACGTCAGTTAGAGAACCATTGAAAACCAGTACCGGGATAATGAACGGTTGTTTCATCCCACAAGTTTGGGAATCATCGAAAGTACTCAGCTACCACATGGGGGTTCGAGCCTTCGTTTAATATTCAGCCACTGTGACCGAATTCATTAGCCAGTCCATGAATTCCAACTTCTATCAATTCGTGATTTAGCGTCGCCTCCAACCAATTTCATCGGTGGGACATCCATCCTCATACTTGACTGAATCCACCTCACTTGTCACAACTTCTCACTAGAATTCCAGGAAACGCCATCTCAATAACTATAGAAGATTAATCTCTGATGCTTGCTAGTGAGTGAATTCCTACAGGATGCAGTTTCCTGGAGTTCTAGTGAGAAGTCGTGACCAGTTAAGTCGACCCATTCAAGTGTGAGAATGGATGTCCCACTGATGACATTGGTTGTTTGGTGATCGCGCTAAATTACGAATTGGTAGCAGTTAGAATTCATGGAATGGTCACTAAATCGGGTTCCGATGGCTGAATTGTATACTAACTCGCCTTGTAACCGGAAGGTGCTGGGTTCGAGGCCTGGTGGTGTGTGCGTATTGCCGATCAAACCCAAACTAGGATGAATCAGCTGTCTAGTACTCTGTGCTAATTTTCAATGGTTCTCTAACTGGTATCAATCCGTGGTATCGATCGTAGAAATAAATCAAGATCAGACGAAGAAAACACCGTACAGAATCTATTCAACCACTGAGAAATCCACATGATCTAGAAAAGCTTGAAAAATCATCAGTCAGAGATGGTCTACACTCTACGCAATAGATTCAGGCCCCAAAATTGATTTTGACAATATTGAAATCATCATCCAGAAATAGCATTTCAGAAATCACAAAAGAATATCTCATGTCATCAGAAGCACTTCATTTCATCAAATGGAATCCAAATTGTCTGAATAGGAATGATGGACTAGAACAGAATTTAGCCTGGTTACAACATTCCACCTCATTCCATGAAATGACAGAGTCAACACGAATGTGATGAGCGATTTCATTATGTCAACACCTGCTGCTTCTATAATTTTGCACACTTATCAAATCCAACAGTCATCCACACCTGGTTTTGTTATCGTTGCCTGTTGGTTAACTTGACAAGGCTAAAATTACCCTTTATTCAGGGGTAATGATTAAGTTAGCGTATATAAGTGTATATAAGAACGTTAAAATTTACCAATTGCTTGTCTACCTGATCCATGTACACTCATTTCTAATGTGAAACCACAAAAGTTTAGAATTCATACATATTGTGGACCTCATTGGTGTGATTATTGTACTCATTTTATTTGGGGATTAGTTGCTCAATGCATGAAATGTATAGATTGTGGATTTCAGGCTCACAAACGATGCGCCGATCTTGTACTGTGTACGTGATATCAATGCTTTGACAAGTTTGATTAAATCATTTCTTCGTCAGTTGCCTATCTCATTAATCACCTATGAAGCTTATCCAAATTTACTTGATGTTGTTCGCAATGACCGACTGGTGGAGAGAGAAATGCTTGATTTATTGAAGAAGGTGTTTCCTCGATTACCAGGTGCTCATTATGAAAGTTTAAGTTACTTTATCAATCATATACACAGGGTAGGTGAAAATCAAGAAATCAATATGATGACTACTGCGAACTTAGCTATTGTTTTATCTCCAACATTATTAAGTTCATCGTATACAGATCCTATAAGTTGTTTATAGCTGGTACACTATTTAAACATGCATTAATTGAATTAATAATAAAACATTGTGCTTATCTATTACCACCAAGTGGTCGATGGTATACAACACCAAGACCAAATGAATTAATCGATGGTGTTATGCATTCACCATCACATTGTCATAGTCAAATTATTACTACTACTACTACTACTAGTTCGATGACCAGTATGACACCACCAACAACAACAACAACACCAGCAACAGCGACATCATTTCCAGTATCACCGCCTAGTATATCAACTTCATATAAAAATGGAGTTTTTTACGACGTCCTTCATCAACAGATACTCGTCCAGTGCTAACTTTATCACCGATACCACCCTAATGAATGAATGATTTAGGTGAATAAACCAATTTCAATTATATAGAACATCTCATCTTCAACTACCTATTCTTATTGTTATTATTATTTTTTCTGTTGATACCAAGGTTTCTTTTCTAACACATTCCATTACAGTCTTGGATGCTTTTTTAAACTTCTTTCTCTTAACTTAATTTCATACAGATACACGTCGGTGGCACAGAGGTTAGGACGCTCGCCGACCATGCACATGGTCCGGAGTTCGATCCCCGGCCACTGGACGCACTCCTCCCTTACCTCCCTAAGCCAGAAATAATGTTGGTAAAGAGGAAAGGTTTGGCATGGGGCTAGCAACCTCATCCTGTAAAAATAAACACCACTGCTACAGAAACTTCAAGCCTCTAGCTTGAAGCCCCCTGTGTTCCACTGGGAACGCGTGAAGGAAAAAAAATATAAGCTGAGATTTTGTAAATTCTGGTTTAATAATACTTCGACATATTTATACTTTTTATATTACTGATTACAGTTTAATTCCACACTGTATTTTTGGTACAGTTATGGCATTTTCAGCATGTGATATTGTTAACCTAAATTTTTCAGGCCCAACATAGATATCAGGTGTGCATCGGTATTGGACCGAACGCCGGACCATGTACATGGTCGGCGATAGTCCTAAACGCTGTACCACCGACGCACAGTTATTAACAGCATTAAATATCGAAACGTCAGTAAAAGTAATATCATTTTGTTTTTCATTCAGTGGGAAATACAAAAGCTTCATTAACAGTGTGGAATTATCAATGCATATACTACAATAATTGCATAACTTCTTGATATTTTGATATATACACCTAAGTTTTCCATAATATCCCATTTACTCTTAGGGTAGAGTGATGTCTGTATTTACCCGCCCCCTCCTGTACTTATAACCTCTGAATCCTATTGGTTGTCAACCATTTCAGCTTATCAAATAAAGGCTATTTGAATCAAGATCATTTGTGAGATGGTCGGAGGTAATCAACAGGAAGCCTTGGATTTAAGTTTCATGCTTTACACAACCTTTACAAAATTGTAATTGCAAGCGTTTGATGATACGTTTGGATAGCAAACACTGGTTACAGTCAACATACCTAGCTCCACATAAGCAGGTGAATTGATAGATATGCAATGATGAGGTGGCCAGCAGTTCAAACTTGTCCATCACTTTCATGTGAATCATCGACTTTTTGGAGAAAATTAGTCAAACTTCAACTGCAAAGAAGGTTTTATTCAACGAGTGGAATAGGCAGTTCTTCAGTATTTTTGAGATTTCAATGAACTGTACATTTGAGTAGAGAAGTCTTATGGAATATTTACCCTGATGGTTTTATAAAGAAGGAAAAAGATCCCCGGCCCATCCACCACACAACTGTGTCCTGGAACACCTGATTGAACGTGAAAACCAAGTTAACTTACAGAGCAACTTTAAAGTTGTCTACAATATAAGCGAGAATTTCGGTAAATGAGTACGAATCCAAATTCTTCGAGCCACTTTTCCAATTCTGGCTTCGACATGTTTATCCTTTCCGCCTGTATTTGAAAAGATGCTTCCTAGGCGAATAAGTCAAGGAAGTTACCTCTTTCAAGTGTCTCACGCTGATGCTGATTGTTTGATTTTGTTCTTGGTTGATTACCTTCTTCACCTCCGTCTCCACCTGCTCTATGTTCACCTGAAATCCTGTCTCCAGTGTCAGCTTCTCCAGTTAGCATTTTAGTTTTCGTCTGCCTGTGGAGTCTACGAGTTTGTATGACACTAAACATAAATCATCCATACACGAAATCCATATCTTCTAGAGCCTTCTTATCGATCTGACGTATTCCTGTCTCCTCACTCTCTACCCACAGTCGGATGCAGAATCCAGTCCACCATTATTAGGAATATAATCAGTTAATGGTTGGTGGCGAGCACTGTCTTACCCTGTATTCATTCGGAATTCCCACTGAATTTTCCATTGGGGATCACCTGAAACGTGACATTGTCCTATAGCCAGGTGTTGAATGAGATTGATAAAGACTTGAAGTACCCCGCAGTATTGACGTAGTTTCCAAATCACTTCTTGGTCAGTTCTACCGAAGCTGTTGCCTTCTCGAGGTCGATGAAGTCAAGGCACAGGTTTGACTGCCATTCTCTGCTGTGTTCGATGACGGTGTGTAGAGTCGCAGTTTGATCAGCACATGATTCGCCTTTCCTAAATCCTGCTTGTTCTGGTTTGGTTGGGCGGAGTTCTGTATCCAGTGCATCCTTTATTCTCTCCAGGATAAGGTGGCTTGGTATTTTACTTGGTGTGGACAAGAGCATTATTCTACGCCAGTTCTTGCAGAGGCCTAGGTCACCCTTCTTTAGCAGCTTGAAAAAATAGCCATTCTTCCAGTCGGTAGACACCTTTCATCCCTACCAAATGTTTTGCAGTAATGGTTTCAGCATATATAACGCAGTCTCTTGGTTCGTTTTCAGTGCTTCGGGGGTAATTTCGACTGGCTTCAGCAGCTTGATTGCATATAAGATCTCCGCTATCGTTGGAGGATTGATGTTCACTGGCAGGCAGTTGTGTGCATGCTGTTGGTGGTGGTGCATTTCTGAGCAAGTTGTAGGTGATGGTCAATCCATGAGTCGTTTGCAGTGATCAGCCCATTGTTTTATTCATCTTTTCTTTGGTAATAAGGTTCCTTTGAAAACCTTTTATTGGTTTCATCATCTGAGTTCATCTCCTCCCAGATAGACACCTAAGTTTTCTGGTTTTATGTTCTGAAGTTTCGTTTATTTGAGGCTTGCATATCCGTTCTTCTTCTTCTTTTTCCGCTCACTGTGTCATAGAATTGTCTTTTATCTTTCCTAGCACTCTTCTACACTTCTTTATTGAGTGTTGTACACACTGAACTCAGCTTCTCCTTCTGCTGTCCATGTTTGCGTTGAGTCATCTTTTATTTCACTATCCTCCTCTTTTTGATTAGTTTTCGGATATCCGTTGAGAGCCATTCCTTGTATTGTCTCTTCTTTCTTCCTAAATTTGCTGGCCAAACACATTTCCTCGAACATCACATTCAAAGAGTTAACTCCCCTGTTCTTCCACTCAGGTGTCCTCAGTGATGCCACTTAGTTTCTCCGACTTAGCTGTATTCTGATGCCCAGTGAAAGTATCCCTTGTAGATTCGTCCTTCAGTTTCTGAATGTTGAACTTGAATTACACTGGTCTGCCTTAGGTTGTTTTCAGGGATTTCAGTTCCGCCTTGAATTTTCCTTCAACTAGATGATGGTTTCACCCCACATTTGTTCCACTTTTTGACTTTGTGTCCAGCACGCTAGCTGCATCTCCATTTCCTTAGGAAACATTGAGATGCAGTCTATCTGGTTTGTGATATGTTCATGAGGCGAAACTCAACTTGCTTTGTGTATATATACATCCTTGTGCTTGTTCACTCTCCCTCCGATCAACAACTCATTGAAAGCCCGGAATTCTTTGAAAAGTGCATGGCATTGGATAATTTTGACCTTCCCTCCTTCCGTCTGAGTTGAATCTCGCTGTCACAATCATGTAGGAGGAGATTGGTTCCCACCGCAATAGGTTTTTGGCTGTCTCTGGTAACATCATGATGGCCATTCACTCACTGCCTCAGTGTGCTTTCGGTTGTCGCCTGGGTGACCTGACAGGAGCGGATAACTGATAGATAGATTACTGACTCTCCATTTGACAATTTTGATACTCCACATCCATTCCATCTACTCCTGCAGATTCCGAGCACTTCTTTGCCATATCTTCTCATTTCTCTGGCTGCCTGGGAAGCCTTCCCAGCCAGTCTCGTACATAATGCGAACACTTCACGTCTCCTTTCTTATTGTTGTTTTCATCAAGAGATGACACATCTACTGGCTGACTGTCTTCCCGAAGACTGTCTTTCAACAACCCCCTGCATCGATTCCCCTCTCCGATTTCAGCGAAGAAAAACTTTGTTTTTTATATGTATTTTTTGTATTTTTAATATATTTCTTGTGCGTCGACGTTTCTGTAGCAGATTTATTGAATTTATGGAGAAGAGCTCCATGCCCAACCCTCCCTCTTTTCCTGGGCTTAGAACCGGTTAGAAAGCTGGCGAGCTTGCAAAGTAGGCGAGATTAAGTAAAGTGTACTTGAAGGCAAAACTTCCTCTGCCCTGTTTACCGAAGCTGAAGTCCCTCAAGGTGCTGATTTCTCTTCCTTCGTCTTATATGACTTACCTCTTTCGGATGAACTCAACTTCTTTAAATATGTCGATGATTTGACTGTCTCGTTGGCAGTTTTCTTCCCTGTCTGACTGTTCTCGACCGAATAGCTCTTTGTCTGACATTAACCACTGGTCTAAGCTTAATGGTCTTATCTTAAATCCATTCAAATGTCAACTAGCTAACCTCACCTTCGAAAATAAACGTGATCTACACAAATCGGCTGGTTCATATGATGCTTGTAGCATAAATGCTATTGAATTAGAAAGAACGCCAGGTATTATATTCATGAAAGAATTCTTTCATCTGACATTTCTTGATCATCCCATATCTTGTGGATTTCTAAAAAGAGGTTCTGCCTAATCTATGACACTAAGAAGCTAAGACAATCAGGTAACACTGAACCACTACGTTTAAAGTTTGTTGACACTTGAATCTTGCCTGTTATACTTGACTGCTTTGTTTCTCTCTCTCTCTTAGTGTTTGCTGTGGTAATCAAAAGGATATTGCGAAATTCATTAGAGGTTGTCAATAAGGCATTCAGTGGGCCACTTCATCAGTCGGCCGTAGTCAGAGAACGTTCTCCATACGGATACGAGAACATATTCCAGCTGCATGGTTTTTTACAAGGGAGAAAGGAAGTGTGTGCGACGCTGTATTCTGGAACACCTAATCGACTTCTGTCACTCTGTCAACCCTGATCATGATATTAAGATCATTTATAGAATTCATGCTAACTTCCCGCGTTTTTTTGTCATTACAGA